TTCTGATCCACGCAAAAACAAAAATAATTGTTATCACCAATTAAAATACGCTCTCCCAAATTTAATCGGTGACACTAGTAAAGAAGAAATGGAAATAAAAACATCGAAAAATGAATTAGATAAAGATGATAAAAAGTATTATATTTTTTAATGCTATAAAAAAATATCCACAATCCATCCACCCAGATTATTTTACGGATATCTGAATTGATCATCCATGAATTGCATCTCTAAACCACACGATTCTTACAATAACAAAGAGAATGATTCTTGGTGGTTTGAGACACATATATATCAAAGTCATAAACAGGTATTATTAAATTATTTTGTTACTTATTTTCACATTATAAATAGCTTCCAAAACAGAAACCATGCTTGGAAATTGTGACAGCTCTGTAGGAAGGATTATGTCTGATGTCAGGGTCAACATGTAAATTCCATTGACTTTCAAAATTCATTTCATAACTTGAATCTGTGTACTTAAGAGTATGTATTAGGTTTTAGTTGGCAAACTGTACAAAATAAAAAGTTCAAAAATCAAATCAAATTTAAACATTTACCAGATATCCAGATACCAAACATTGTGACCCTGTCACCATTTCCATATTTACTTATTAACTCATCCAATGCATCATCCTAAATGAAATATTGTTATTATTATTATTATTATTATTATTATTATATTAATTATGTAAAATATAAATATTTAATATTGAAATTTGTCTACCTTTACTGTAACTAGTAGGTCACAATATATATATTGTGACCTACTTAACTAATACTTAAAAACACCTCAACAAATTGCCCAGCTTTTGGGCCTATGAGGAAGGTAGAATAGGTAGATCCGTAACATATTCTCTACCTTTGACAACAAGTGGCGACAACCACCATACTTGGACAATTCGAAAAAAAAATTTTTTGATATTGATCAACAAAACATTAATTATTTATGTATGAGGGGGTTTTTTTTGTTGACGTGAATTGATTTTTTTTTCTTTGGAAACAATTTATTTTTCCAAGATGACAGAACATGAGAGAAGACATGTTAATAACAGAGGTACTATTTTTTATTTATATCGAAATAATGTGGCATCCTTTAGTTTATAAATATTTTAATTGAAATGCAGAGGATCTTGCTGGTTAATTATAAGATCCTTATCAAGATAATAAATGAACGATTGGTAATTATTAATAATATTATTATAAATATATAATTACAAGATGTCAAGGTAGTACACTGTTGCAGAAAAAACAATTCAAATATGCGATGTTTGATTATCGGGAATTCACAGGCGTTGAAGCACGCAACACATTACAGTCATTCACACATCTTCCTCATGTACATAAGACTAATTTGACTTGCAATGCCCAAGGATACAATGATGCAACCGAATTCCTCGAAAATGCCTTTTGGTTTACTTGAAATCATGAAAAAATGGAATACAAATAAATTATTAAATTTCTTAGAAAATCAAGTTAAACCTTGATGAAGAAGATTTTTCACTTTTGAAAACCAAAAGATATCAGGTTCGAGCTTTCTTTTACTGAAGAAAGAGGATATATTCAATGTGGGCCCTGTTCTAGAAAAATTGAGACCCCTTTGTCGATCATGTTACTTGTATATACTTTGTGGAAAAGATTTTTTTTTTTAAAATTCTAATAATAATTGAAATAGGTGTTCACGAACAAGGTAAGGACAAAATAATAATTTTATTTTTTATTTTTTAACAAAGATATTATTATACTTAAAATATGCAATAAAAAAAAATAATCAATTGCATGGAATCCATGTTTATCTAGTAAAATTTGTTTTATAGTTGGCTCGGTCAAAAGACCTCCTAAATTTTGGGCAAATTTTAAAAGTATAGAAGTCACTTTCTATCCTACCTTTTAAAAAAATAGCTCT